TAAACAATAACGTATGTCATAAAATTTTATTTTTGATGATGATATCACCACTTTTGCCGGTAGTATCTATGATTTTTTTATTTTTCTAATTATTTTGTGCAAACTTAGTTGTTTTATGATGATAGCAGCATTTTACAATACTATGCCAATATTGATAGATAACTCTGAAATTGATGGTTACTTTTATATATAAACTAATTTTTTACTGGTTTTTAAAAAATGGTTAACGTGATTAAGTATATTAAAAGATGTCAATTTTCTCTTATAAACAACACCTCGGCCAATAGCAAGCGCACATCATGACCAGGATATATAATATAATAATATATGGCGCCTCCACAATTGAATCAATGATAATCTGCTAACAACGAATCTTTACTTATATAATACTTTTAATTTATGTGTACCTTTAAATTTTATCTTATAATCCAATTTTGATATAACTTTGTTTATTATATAAATATATATACATCTTCAAACAAAAAATGTGTCTTCAAAAGTATCTTATAAATATCTTTAAAATTATATTAATATTAGATATTATTAATAATAACTTTATAGTCATATCATACTTTGAATTTACAAAAAAATTAAAAATTACGAAAAAATTGTCACAACTCGTCTTCTTGTTTCTTGAATAAAAGGATTTTATGTTTCAACAAAAATTCAATTTCAACTCAGTACCAGATTAATGAACCAACTCGTTCTTAATCTCTACAAAATTTTGAATACAAATATAATTATTAAAAGTAGATAATACAATATCAATATTCAATTACAGTAACTATAATAAAAATATTTAAACTAAAGTACATATTTTGTTGTTATATAATAAGGTACATATTTTGCTGTTGCGAAGTTGCGTTTTATAAAATTATATTGTCACATAATCTATATTAATCAATAATTATTTATGAAAAAGTTAACCAAATAAAGTTTAATACATATCGATGGAAGACAAACGGGCAACAAACTGCATCGCTAACTACTTTTGGATGACAAAACTAATTTTTTTTTTAAAACAACATATGTGGATATAAGAGATATGACATTAGAATGCATCATTCGTTGAACTCTGTTGAGGATCTCAACGGTCTCTGGTGCAAGAAAACCAAATGTATTAAATGCAAAAGGTACAAACGCATGTTGATTTTCTATATGCATTCTCGTGCTTTGTCACTTTGCACACAGCGACTTTCAAAGCGGCGTGCCCTGCTGTGAAACCATCACCCCTAAAATCGACAGAAAGTTCACGCGCACCTGTCAAAATACCAAAATGTCAGCCGACCTGAGGATAGATCTTCCCTCTTGCGGGTCCGTCGAAAAGTTCACGTGCACTTCTTTCTTCACAGAGATACCAACACGCCGACAAACATCAAAGAGAACATCCCTAACCACATCATGTTAGTATTTGAAACCAGTGAGTTCTCTACACTGAACCGAATGTTCCCCAAAAGTGTCCAAACATATCTTACGGCAAACTGGGCATATCTTGTCAGTTGAGAATAAAGGAATCATGAGGCGGTAAAGAAGGATAGTCCGATACTCTACAGGAGACACATGTTGGCTGATGCCCTCAATATGGATAGTTAGCAAAAAATCATGAGCATGAGGTACCCAAAAACACTCAAAAACTAATTTCTTTCTAATAGTCATGTCGATATCAACTTTCATTTCTTTAACGATTTTGCTAAAAATGACATATGCAATGCTTTTTAAGATTTAGGGGGACAGTGTCCTTCAATTTATGTTGTCATAAATATAAAAGAAATTATAGTCTAAATATATATGTAGGCTCCGGAACCTAAAATATATTATGTGTTGTATCCATGATTACAACAAAATTTACATTAACATAAAGATTAATATATATTGATGACAATCATTCTATGTATTGCTTTCCAAATTTGCAATAACATTTATAATAGAAATACAAAATAGTTTAATGATATAGATATAGTAAAGAAAAACAACAATTAGAAATTAATATAAATTCAAACAAACAAATAAAATTGGAGTAGCGTATTGGAACTTTCACGATAGGAAAAGTAGACTTTTGATACTTTAACTTTGACTTTGACTACTAAACAAACAGCCAGTATGGACTATCCAGTGAGAGTGTCCAGCATTCCATGATTTCATCCTCACCATCTTTGTCATTATTCAATATAAAAAAGCCAAATCTTCACAAAAAAAAATTTAAAATTTTAGTCAAATTTATGAAAAAATTCCAAATTATATTTTATTTACAGAAAAACACATAATACCGGTTAAAACTTCAAAAAAAACTTTTTCGATCGGTTTCGCACATTTTGCCAGTATTATATCATTTTTCGTTAGTTTGCTCAAAATTTTGGGATTTTTCCAAAAATTATGTAATAACCAAAATATTGAGACTTTTTTGAAAATTACCATGAAATTATTGGATATTATTATTAACAAATCATTTATAAACATAAAAAAATATTTTATTATAAAAAAATAAAGTACATTTGTTGCTAATTTCTAGGAATAAATTGATCGTCTAAGTACTCTATTGTTTCCTAACCACTTAAACTCTCTACGTTCTTCCTTTGCAATATTGTGAGTATGATGGTGAGATGAATTTAGTTAGCATCCTTCTAATGTTGGTTTTCCTTTTATGTTGTTTAACCTAACTACAAACCAACATTTATATCTTACATGTTAACAATCATCGGTTAACACACATCTATAAAATGTGAAAAGTGGACCGTGAATGATAATCTATATGGAAACAAGTGAAGGGTTATTATATATTTAAATTGTCATTCAAACGTTACTTTTCACTCTCGATAGATGTGTGTAATTTTATGGTTATTACTGGGTAATGTTTGGAGGTTAGGTGGTAGATAGGTTAAAGAATATAATGAAAGATCTATATATTCGTGTAATGATATTTTCTAGTAACACGTTATCATATAGCATCATGCCTAATAGCAAGTAGACACTTATTGATTCTGTATTAATAAATATTATCAAATCTTGTATTGGCCACGCCGAACAGAGTACTTCTCACTATGACACCCACAACGATATATAGGAAGAACATAGAGACTTTGAAGTGGTCAACAAACAATAGAGAAGTACATAATCGACCATTTTATTCCTAGAAATTAGCAACAAATGTATTTTCGTTGTTTATAATAAAAAAAATTATGTTTATATAAATGATTTGTTAATAATAATATCAATTAATTCCATAGTAATTTTTAAAAAAAAAAGTCCCAATATTTTGGTTATCGGGTAATTTTCAGAAAAGTCTTATATTTTGAGCAAACTAACGAAAAAAGACAGAATACCGGATAAATCTATGAAACCGGCCAAAAAGGGTTTTTTCGAAGTTTTAGCTGCTATTCTGTGCTTTTCTGTAAACAAAAATTAGTTCAAGACTTTTTTCATAAATTAGACTAAAATTTTAGGATTTTTTTGGAGATTTGCCTATAAAAATGTAAGGTAATAACAAACATTCAACAATCAACAAACTTTTATTTTAATAATAATATAATAATATTTAAAATCTTAACTAAAAATATAACGAATATTATATAGGATATAAAAATATTAAAAGACTAATTTTATGCGTACCCTTCTCCAATTCCTTGTTGTACCTAGGGATGAGATTATAAAACCGGAAAACCATATTAGAAACAGAATCAGATCGGAACCAGAACCGAAATATATAGAATCGGTTCCGGTTCCGTGTTTAAAATTCGGCTTTCTCCGGGTTCCGTTAATCCGGGTTTGGGTCCATCAAGTCCGGGTAAACCGGCTCTAAGAACCGAAACCAGTGTTAGGAACCGAAACCACTTTTAGGGGTCAGAACAGGTTTCTGTGAAACGTTTAAAACATGCATATCTCATTCGTTACAAGTCGGATTGACATACGGTTTTTTTCCAACGTGTAGTTTAGTGTTTTTATATGATTTTAGACTATAAATTTGTCATTTTTAGTTTAATATTAAATTACTTATAGTCTCCAAAGTCGAGATATTAAAGCTGAAAGTTTCTAATTTTTCAGTTTTTTTGCATTCTATGAAAATTTTAAAACATACATATCTAATTCGTTGGAATCTGGATTAACATACGGTTTTTTCCAACTTGTAGTTTAGAGTTTGTACATCATCTTAGACTATAACTTTGTCATTTTTGGTTTAACACCCGATTCAAAGTACTTTTCAGTTTTGACCACTGGTGTGTTAATGTTTTATATAATTGGTTCTTAGGGGCAAAATTGCCAACTTCAAAAAAGTTGGAGTACGTTGGGCATACTGAATCTCCTTGTGGTTGCGGATCCTAACCAAGTACGCGGGGCGTACATGGAGTACACATGGCGTACGAGAGATTGAGTGAAACCCTAATTTTTAGGGTTTCCACCCTATTTAATCCTTATGATAGTCTCTTTTGGTCATGTTTAGCCATCACAGCTAAACCAAACAAAGGAAATTAATCCATTTTTAACAGAATTTCCATCTCTTTATAATGCATTGATATAGTTAATCTAACTTTACAATCACGTCAAAATTAAATTAGATATATTTAAATTACTGTGATGTGTATTTCCACTCCAAAGGAAATCATTAACCTGAGTCAGTGTTTCTATAACCCCCACTAAGTATAAGCAAACCCTTCAAGTATCTATAAAAGATCCATATACAATTAAAACATATTACAAATAATAAAATCTTATCACACGATTATATCTCATAATAAAATACGAATTAAAACAAGCATACGAGTAAGGATACAGAATAAGGCACAAACCTGTGTTCAACAACGAACCCGTGTTAAGGCCCAAACTTGCTTCATTCACTTGATCGGTCCATCATTCTAGAAATTGCCAAAAAAAAGTGGTTTTAATAATAAGATTGTGATAAGTATATGCAATAACTATACAAAAAACTTCTAAAAAAATGTGTTTATTACCACCATGTATGTAACACAGTAAGAGGGAAATACTTTGTTAGGGTCACTATAATATTACTAGGAAATGTTCTCACCTTTATCACCAACCAGATGCATAACTTCTATACTTGTTAATAATACAATTTTGACACATAATAAAAACCATTCATGATTACCTTTTGGGCAGTTTGCTTTCACATTGCATCTGGCTCTTGAGTTTGTTAGGTTATGGCTTTCATACCAACCTAAAAATGCACAAATATGACAATTATAATCAAGAACATGTATTGCATGCCTTCCATATCAATTATTTCCATATCAAATGATACATTCAGAAATTGGAAAATGCTTTAAGAATCGTAAAAAGATGTAAATGCCAAAAAACAAGAACTTAGTTTTAAAAGAATGAAAAAGTTAAGATACTAAATTACTAATACATGAGGAAAGGATGAAAGACATTCAACACTTACTAATATCGCCTCTATGATCAATTGGATCTCCAATGGCATTAATGATATGAACAAGGGTTCCTCGACCTACAGGTACCTACAATGACATTGAATTAGCTGACTAGCTCCATGGATCATTGCACGATAGTGTTACATCGCCATACAATGGCATACAGAAAACTTGGCTACAATTAAACATGTTGACTTTACCGATCTAAACCATAAACCAATAGGCGGGAAATCGAGACATAATCGGATCGTGTTCTTAAAATGTTCTGAATTTTTTGAGATCTAGATAAAACTTACAGTGATAGGAGAACCAGTGTTGAGAACTCTTTGACCGCAGGCAAGCCCTTCGATACCATCCATAGCAATAGTCCTAACCATATTCTCCCCTAAATGTTGTGCCGCCTCCAAAACTAATCTGATCGAGTTGTCCAAAACCTCTAATGCCGTAAGGATCGGAAACAATCCTTAGCTGAATCTTACATCGGCGACAACACCAATGACCTGGCACACCTATCCAATCGCAACGGTTCCGGTGAACTCGTCGTTGATCTTTCCATAGTTAGATCCTTCACCAGGGGTTGTTGCAGCTAGCTTAATCGGAGTGGCGGTGGCAGAAGTAGCGTAGTTTACTACATAGTTAAGAAAGTTACCAGTAGGAGAAGGGTGGGATTGAGATAGCGCGTGCGGCTCTGGTGGAGTGGGTAAATGGAGATTTGGTTGATGATCGATGAAGGAAGGAGTGGAGGAGAAGGAGGCAGCTAGCCTCCGTGAAGCCATGGTGGAGAAAAGTTAGAGAGAGAAAGAGAGAATGCTAGGGTTTGACAATTTGAAAAATATTTGTTTAGACTTACAAAGTAAAAGGATGCGTATAAGAAATTGGGGAAACATCGATTCTTTTTGGAGAGGTGAATAAGAAGTTAAGAACTGTGAATTTAATTTCTTTAATAGCACAAATTTAATCTCTTTAGTGGCACAAAACAAATCAATAAATCATCACATACACCTGTAGTGGTATATAAAAAATTATATGACATAACATATAGAGTTTTTAGTGGCATTTTAATGTTATTATGCCATTATTAAATATTAATACTAGTGACATAAGTTGTGAAGTGCCACTAAATCTATTAATTTTATAGTAGCATATAAAATATGCTACTGAAAACATACTATTGTGGCATAAAAAAGATATGTCATTAAAAATATGTGCTACTAAATGTCAGTTTTTTTGTAGTGCACATTCTTCGCCTTAGAGAGAAGGGCCAAGGATCCCATACTAGACACCATTTTCGCTTCCTTTGTCACAACACTTTCATGAGACTTAAGAATACCCACCATCTTTGCCAATGAGTAGGTTTTAAACTGCTCGTGACCCTTCACAGTTTATACCACAATCATCCCTTCATGTCTTAAACCATTCAGAAATGTGACCTTCTGTTCGATCACTTCTCTTCCAATACCGTGCTTGATCATCTTGCTCAAAAGATGGTTGAAACGATCGGATTCCTGAATAAGTCTTTCATTTGGCTTTTATTGGAAAGCACCGAACTCAGAGAGCAATAGAGTTTGAATAGAATGTTCTAGGTCCTCATCAGTGGAGTAAAGCTCTTTAAGTCTATCTTAGATTTCTTTTGCCGTGGTGCATGGGCTTACCAAACGAAAAGTATCGGACTGTAAAGAAAATATGATCATTCTCATGGCTTTAACATTACACAACAACTTCTCTTTTTCATCTTGAGGAATGTTCTCCACGTCAGTTAACAGTTTGTTGTACTCCTTTTGAGTCTTAATGGTTCTATTTGTTCCAGAATGAACAAAAGGACCCAATGTTATTGCTTCCCAGATAAGATAACCATTATCTTCAGAACCAACGACATAGTCCTCAAAGTGATGCGTCCAAACTTCATAATCTTGAGTGTATAGCATCGGGATTCTGGTTGTGGATCCAATGTTGTTGGAGATATTGATCGGATTGGTTTGTGAATCATCGTGAGACATGATGACCTTTTTCAGATATCTGCAAGAATCAGACTTGTAAAGATTGAATTAGGGTTTTATCAAATAGCAAGAAACAACATCAATGAAGAGATGACGGCTCCTACAGATTCGATAAAAGTGGAAACCCTAAAAATATTCTTCCAACAAAAGAGATGCGTATTGATATGTGTATTTTTATATATATTTATGTATAACATATCTTAATATTTTAGCATTTATTATTATTATTTAGAACTAAAATATACTTAATATTCTTTGAAATATTTAATTACACTTAAAATGGGAGATGGAATGCAAAAGAAAGAGAATGGAGCTGAAAAGATGCAAAAAGGATATTGCTGGCAGATTGACCCCTCTTCAGTGTTTCGGGTATATCTGATGACTCATAAGTCCAATTGACGAGGTTCAAACTGTTCTGAAAACTAGACGAAATTTCCTACGACTTATGTGATAGGGACTTTTGGCTAATTCGACACTTATCTTATCCAAAATCGGCCTTGAAAATGAAGCATAAAAGCTGGACGGAAATTCCCTCCAAGTTACTTATTCCCCAAGCTCCACTTATCTTATTTTTATTTGCTTAATCCCTAAGCCACCATTAGTTTCCTTATTCCAATCCAACTCTAATATTCCATATAAATTTCATCTCCATCAACTATAAATACCCCATATCATTCCACCAATTTTAATAATCTATGATATTCCACTTCGACTTGTGCAACAAGAAAACTTCATAGTTGCCGTTTTGAGGGTCTAGGAGGTGGCCGGAAGGCCGTTAAGCTAACGGGAGCGGAGATCGGAAGGGTTGGAGAGCGGATACGTGTCGGTAATCATATGGGTTGTTAACGTGACCATGTTTAGCATTCCATTGTGTTACTATTATGTATTTAGTTTCTGACTTGGGTGTAAAAACCTTTTACTTTTTTTTTATGATTGAATGAAGCTTTGATTATTAGACTAATTGCTATATTAAATAGTTTGTTTGTGTTTAATTTATCTTGCCAAACTTGTTAAAAGATCTTTACGTATTAATGATAATTATTTGTTGTTAATTGTTAACTGAATTGAGTTGTATGAACATATGCTTGATTGCTTGTCTCTTATGATTTTGGTGACCATCGAGATTATAAGTCTAGGAATAACGAATGTGAAACTAGGATTAACTTGGGAATAAGTAAGTTAATGTGTGAGCCTTGTTTGATGACCATCAACAAGAGGTTAATTGAATGTCTAATTTGATTAACTATATTTGCAAGTCTTGCTTGATACGAACTGAACACTAGGAAGCATGTTAGTTTAATCAACTGATCATTGTTTGATTTAACTTGTTTGCTAAAGGATTAGTTATAGTGAACGCGAATCTAATCATTTTAGGAATCGGTGAACATGAATAAATGAATTTGTGTATGAAATTGTCTATGTTTTTAAAGTGTAATTTGTCTAAACCAAAGTACCTGAAGAGATTTGCTTTTCTGTTAGTTTATCGAGAGTTGTTAATTAATTGTTCGTTTGAGATTTATTAAACTACTTCTTTATTCTTTCCGTGTGACCTGTAACCTATAATTAAATATTTTAAATTAATTCACCACCGTTCCCTGTGATCGATACCCGACTTACCTAAGCTATACTGTAATCTGACTAGGTACACTGCCTATAAGTGCATAGTTAGTCTAAGTTTGTTAGGTTATAAATATTAAAATTAGTGGGTACTTTTGTGCACATCACGTATGTATTATAAAGTCTCTTGCTCTGATACCAATTGATGAGAATAATTTTCTCTAAGATCGATAGATTCAATCAGATATCAATGAAACGATAATAAGGAATAGAAAACAACAAACACCACAATGAATCAAACGAGTGTCAAATGATTAATATGCTCCACCTCAGAAGACTTCAATGAGAATTGCTACTGTAGAGGTAGGCTAGGGTTACAGTACACGATAAATAAATAATAATCAAGAAGCGTGGTGAATATAATGCATGCATGCACTATATATATACTAAACCCTAAAAACAAAACACGGCTGGACAGGCCCAAACCGAGTATACAAATGGACCAAAGAGCTAAGCCCAAAGACGCAACCTCTTAAACTCAACATCAGAAAACAATGTCATGTTGTTATTATCTACAAACCATGTAATGGTCGAAGAGATATTATTATTGAAAATGGGGGTATATATTATATTTTCCTTTATAATTTTTATCCAAACCATCGATAAACTCAACCCTCTTTATTTGTTCCCTTTCAATTAACGAATAAAATCAATAGATACCAATCATTGTTCATCCTTAACTCTCTCCATCTATTACGACCAAAACCAACATGTGATGTCATTTGCTACCAAGTTTCGATAAGGTGTGTAAAAGGGATATTTGATTCTTGTTTTCAAATAAAAACTAAAGAACACTTTATGCTACATAGAATTGGAAATCGAAGGCTAGCAAAAAATCAACAAATTTATTGTTCAAGCTGAAGTAGGTAAATGGTGAATTTATTTATGGCTACATAGTCATCTAAATCAATGGTTAAAGAAGAAAAGGAGATCAATATCACATATTTGCTACCATCAATCTTGCTTCGATTTTCTTTTCAAGGGATGGTTAGGTTTTGTTCAAGTGACTCATATGTACGTATCCTTGAAGGTATGTCAATGAATCTATACATGCTCTTGAAGTTTCGATATTCAAACTTTAATGTTCAATTTAGTAAATTTGAGTTATTTGTATGTGATGTTGAAGGATTGATTTTGTCCATTTGAGTTATCTGTAATTGCTCTTGAATATCACATATATGTTACCAGAGTAGCGGGACTTAATGGGAGCTCGGAGGACCCGTGTTACCCCTTAAATTTTTAGGCATAATAGAAATATTTTGTGAAAATATTCAAAATACTATATTTATCTCGACGTGTTACCCCTAAAATTTAAGTATGTTATCCCTGATATTTTATTCTAGGTCCACCATGCTACCTCCAATATAAAGATATTTGGTATATTGTCTCTAATTTACGATATTGGTTCTTTTTTTGGTCTCTAATTTTGGTTTAGTTACGGTCCTATATTTTCGATTTTTGGTTTTGTGATTTCATGTATTTGATTTTCTTTCGATGGCGGTGAGAGGTGGATGGTGGGTTAGAATAAAATTATGGGTACTTGAAGGTGATGATTATTGGACGATATCTTTGCTCAATGAAGAAGAATTATAATAACAATGATTAAATACAAGATTACATGGGCCCTATGGGCTAGGTAACTGTTGCGCTAAATACAAATACATACTATCTAAATGTACAATACAATAATACATTAATACGCCCCCGCAGTTTGAGCGGGAGATCTAGAGCAAACACTCATACTGGTCCAAAAATCTGTAAACAAAGAAGATTGAAGTCCTTTGGTGAAGATATATGCATACTAAAGGCTGGAAGGAACATGTATAACTCTAACTTGACCAGTGGCAACCTTCTCATGCACAAATTGAATATCCATCTCTATGTGTTTAGTTCGTTGATGTTGAACAGGATTCGTAGACAAATAAACAGCACTGACATTATCACAGTAAACAACGGTTGCCTTAGAAAGAGGAGTGTGTAGCTCACGAAGAAGCTTTCGTAACCAGCAGGTTTCGGCTACTGCATTGGCCACGCCACGGTATTCGGCTTCTTCACTTGAACATGAAACGGTCTGTTGGCGTTTAGAGGGTCAAGACAAAAGATTATCTCCCAAAAATATATAGTAGCCGCTGGTGGATCGACGTGTGTCAAGGCAACCCCCCCCCCCCCCAATCAGCATCAGAATAGGCTATGAGATTTGTGGTGGGAGAGTGATGAAGTTGAAGCCCGTAGTCTAACGTCCCACAAACATATCTTAAGATACGTTTAAGAGCATGAAAGTGAGGTTCGCGGGGATTGTGCATGAATAGACAAATCTGTTGCACGGCATATGATAAGTCTGGGCGAGTAAAGGTGAGATACTGGAGGCCACCTGCGAGGCTTCGGTATAGGGTCGGATCAGTAACAGGATCGCCTGAAAAATCTAGTTTGGACTGAGTATCAGCAGGTGTTCGACACGGGTTACATGTCAACATGTTGGCACGCTCCAAGATTTCCAACGCATAGTTGCGTTGGGAAAGGAATATACCATTAGAATCACGTGTAACAGCAATGCCCAGGAAGTAAGATAGATCACCAAGATCCTTCATAGCAAATTCTGATGCTAGAAGTGAGATGATACGCTGTAGGAGATCTGTATAGGAGGCTGTCAAAATGATGTCATAAACATATAACAATAAATAAGCCATCTTCGTACCCCTGCAAAATATAAATAGTGAAGAATCACAACGACTATGTGTAAAACCGATCTTGATGATATATGATGCAAATTGTTGAAACCAAGCGCGAGGAGCTTGTTTCAGCACATATAGAGATTTCTGCAATAGGCAGACATGGTCAGGATGTGTGATATCTCTAAACCCAGGCGGTTGGTGCATGTAAACCGTTTCATTCAGTTGACCATGTAAGAATGCATTTTTTACGTCTAACTGATGAATCGGCCATTTTCGAGAGGTGGCAAGACTGAGAACCGTACGAATCATAGCCGGTTTGACAACCGGACTAAATGTCTCATCACAGTCGATGCCGACGCGTTGGCTTTTGCCATTTGCTACCAAGCTAGCTTTGTATTGCTCAAGTGTACCATCTGCATTATATTTCTTTCTAAATAACCACAAAGAGCACACAGTGTTAGCATCTGTAGGTCTCGGAACAAGGACCCACGTACCGTTAGAAATAAGAGCACGATATTCGTCATTTATGGCAATGGTCCAATTGGGGTCCCGAAGTGCTTGAAGGTGAGACTTAGGAAGAGGAGACTTAGTGATTGTGTGTAGATTAAGACGAGAGATAGGTTTGAATATACCTGCACGACCACGGGTGACCATAGGGTGAGTTGGTTAAGGAGATGGTGGAGAGTTAGTGGGTGGTGTTAAATGGTTGTGAGAAAAAAGAAGAAGGTGGCATGAGAGGGCTATTGACAGCCGAGTCATCCGAGTGGTTGTCGTTGGCAGAAATATGACTGCCAGACTCATTGCCAGTTTCGGTGGTGGTTGTGGTGGGAAATTCAGACAATCGAAAAGCCCTGGATGTGGGATTTATGTCACATTGTTCGTCAAGAAAAGAATAAGAAGGTGCTTTGTTGGGTGTCATGGCTTTATATGGAAAGATGTTTTCTTGGAAAATAACGTGATGTGAGATGATTATTTTTCCGATTTCAAGTTCAAAACAATGAAAGCCTCGATGTTGGTTACGATAACCAAGAAAGATACATGGTCTAGATCTTAGGGCAAGTTTGTAAGGGGTGTGAAGGTGAGGATAACATAGGCATCCAAAGAGACGAAGATGGAGGAAAGATGGTGGTTTGTTATATAGTTTGGAGAAAGGTATGTCGTTGTTTATTGATGATGAGGGTGTGATGTTAATGAGATGGGCTGCCATATGAAGAGCTTCAACCCAAAAAGTGGGCAGAAGATGGGCTTGAAAAAGAAGAGTGCGAATAACATTATTTATAGAGCGGATCATATATTCACACTTTCCATTTTGTTAGGAAGTGCGGGTACACGAGAAACGGAATTGGATACCGTGTTGGTCAAAAAGATTGTGAAACTTTTCGTTGTCAAATTCGCCACCATGATCACATTGGAATTGTTTAATTTCGGTTTGAAATTGATTATTGACAAAAGCACAAAAGTGAAGAAACTTGGAAAAAACATCAGACTTTTTTCGTAATGGGTAGACCCAAAGAAAGTGAGAGAAATGGTCAACGAAAATAATGTAGTATTTAATACCACTATAGTTAGTAATAGGGGATTCCCGCAAATTTGAATGAACGATATCAAAGCAACTAGAAACAATGGAATTAGAACTATAAAAAAGGAAGTTTCACATGTTTTCCAAGTTGACATGCTTAACAATTATCCGAACTAGAAGTTTTATTACAAGAAATAAATCGACGAGAAATTAAATGATTAAAAACACGAGCGTCGGGATGTCCGAGACGTTGATGCCACAAGCTAGAGCTACCGGAAACAAGAGCAACAGATGAGTGGAATGAGTATGGTGCGTGATAGAGATCACCCAAGCTGTCACACCTAAGTAGGACCTGAAAAGTTTCCAAATCCTTCACAGTAAAACCAAAGGGGTCAAATTCAATAGACACTTGATTGTTAGTTGTAAAACGACGCACATATATAAGATTTTTGATAATATTAGGGGTGACAAGAATGTGATGAAGATGTAAAGGACGATTAACAGAAAAAAGTTTAGAGTGACCGGTATGAGTAACGGAAATAGATGAACCATTGCCAACAAGAACATATTTAATGTCTCTCTTATTGCTAAAAGATGTGAGTATACCTGTATCGGAGGCAAGGTGTGATGTGGCTCCGGTGTCCATATACCAATTAGCTTTCGCACCTTTAGTAACATTCAAGGAGTTGAAGGCTTGAGTGAGGTCGGTAGGCTGATCTTGAGATATTGAATGGAACCACTGTGATGGAGGCCGAAGAGTCGGAGTGGTGGTGGTGTGATACGCAGCTACAGTAGCGGAAGGTGGGGCACCAAGAATGCCCTGTTGAATTAACTGTGCTGGTGAGTTGGGTCTGCATTGCTGGGCTGCTGAATTGGTTCTGTAGTCGGCCTAAGAAGGTGGATACCCCCAAGGGAAAGTCTTCCATGGTAAGGTGAATGGGTTCCAAGGAACCGGTTGGGGATGTTGCATATGACCAGATCCATAAGTATTCGAGCGACGCGAGTCAGAGTTGCCGCCTCCACGCCGGTTCTGATTGGGACGACGACCACTGCGGTTAGAGGAAGACGGTGCACGGCTACTGTTGGCAGCATACAAGACCGCAGGTGTAGAGGAGTGATCCGAGTGTGAAGGTGGTGTTGGGCGATTCAATTTTAGTCTGCTTTCTTCAACCATAAGCTTGGAGCGGACCAGATTATAGGTTGGAAATGGGTCCCTATGGCGAAAAAGCATGGATATGTTTTCAAACTGTAGGGATAAGCCATTCAACAAATGTGCAATAAACGACTTTTCAGGGATAGGGTTCTCGATATTGGCCAAGAGATCATTGATGGCCTTCATTTTTTGACAATACTGGGCAATTGAAAGTTCACCTTGTGTCATGAATCATAGTTCGTTTTCAAGTTCAATGGCCCGGGTATCTTTATTTTCACGAAACAAGTCTTCAAGGCTCTACCATATGGAATGAGCGGTGGAGTTTTTCTTGACTATGGATGTGAGGAGAGGCTGAGTGAGAGTGGCATAGATCCATGACTTGACAATGGAGTCAAGGGTATACCAATCTTCATCCTTATCAGACGTTGGACGTGAAGTCCCATCGAGAAATCCAAGCACCCAATATCCCCTGCAGTGAGTTTCAAACAATTCGCGCCAGGCATCATAGTTTTATTCATTCAAGTCGAGAATAATAGGAACATGAGTTTTGATGTTAACAACACCATATAGCTTCTGATTGGTGGAGGTTTTGGAGCCTGAGGATTCATCACCAGCCATGGCTGATTATAGAGAGTGTAGATGCAGAGAGAGGTGAAGAAGAAAGAAGAATAGAAAACACAGGAGAGCAGAAGGTTTATCGACGGCACAGTTGGTGCACGTCAATAGGAGGATCGTGAAGAGGAAATTAAGGTAGATACGTTTTTCTCTGATACCATATTGGACGATATATTTGCTCAATGAAGAAGAATTATAATAGCAATGATTAAATACAAGATTACATGGGTCCTATGAGCTGAGTAACTGCTGCGCTAAATACAAATACACACTATCTAAATGTACAATACAATAATACATTAATAATGATATGAGACGTCTCGAATGGTTGGAGAAGGGGATTAATTACAAGTCATAATAATAGTAATAATTAATAAAAATATGTTAAAAATTTATTTATGAAAATATATAATCAACAGAAAAAGATATGAAAACCCAAATCACATGTAGATAATTTTTGCAACAAAAAATAACACCTTTCATGTCAAATCATCTTTGTAATTGTTTGTGCACTTTCTTCTTCTAGTAATGGTCTTTTTGAAATACTTTTTGAATATTTTAAAACATGGAAAACCATGAAAAAAATGTTAATAACCAAATATGATCCAAACATGGTACAATAATAACATTAACAGATAAAATAACGTTTATGGGGCTACCATGACACATTCAAACTCAAAACATTAAATAAAACCATGGTTCTAAAGCTTTCAAATTAGTTGATTAGACGCAATTTATCGTAGATTAATAAAAATAGAACAAAAGAAGGAAACACAGTAACCCACCCCACTCGGTCCACCTGCCACTAGCAACTAATCCACAACCCCATATTCAATGAACTTATTGAGGTAACCAAATAAAATTATCACATGCTTATTACTTTCAAAATCTTCTTAACATCAAAAATCGACGATTACTAGTCTTGCCACTCATACTTCACGGGCACAAGGGTAAGAGGCGTTTTTCTAACAACAATCAAGGATCCTACCTCTTCCATGTCCAGTTCCTCGTTCTTCATTCCACTTGGAAGTTGCCAATCAAAAGAGTGAAAAAGGTTTGCAATCGTATATTCTACGATCTGAGTAGCAACGCTTGCCGCTGGACAGGCTCTTCTTCCCCCTCCAAATGGAATCATCTCACTACGATCCAACTCAAGGTTTTCTAAGCGCTCAGGATTGAAGATGGATGCAGTCTCTTTCCACACTTTTGGATCCCTTCCTATCCCCCATGCATTTATCAACACTCTTGTCCCAGGGAAGATGTCGTACCCACCAATCTGACAATGCTTTACGCATTCTCTTGTAAGCAAGAATGGAACAGTCGAATGCAATCTTAACGCCTCCTTCACCACCAACTTTAAGTATGGCATATTTGCAACATCTGATTCCTCAACGCTTGATTTTCTTCCAACGCATCTTCGAATTTCCTCTTGTAGCTTTTTCATAACTCTAGGGTTTTTAATAATCTCAGACATCGTCCACACCATTGTCGTAGTAGTTGTGTCAATTGCTCCATTTAGCACATTCTGATTATCAAGTTTAAGATCATAAGAGTTAACTTACATTTATATGGTATTTTGAGAAACAATATTAATTTATATGGTATATAAATCTAAATAAGAAAAGTAATAGTTTTTACCATCAAAAGGGCTTTCATTTCGTTTGTAGTCAACTGAGATCTGCATACATCAACCATATCTTTTTCATGGTCACTTGTTCCAGTATGATCAATATGCTCATCAAGAACCATTTGAAGAAAGGCATCGAAATTACTGAAAGTCTTTTCTAGCCTTCGATTAAACCCAAGTAGTTCGTCTAATATCAACCCTAATCTACCTGGATAAATATCGGAAACAGAGCCACAAAGAGAGATGACCAGATCATCAAGCATCTCTTTCAACTTTTTACCTCTAAACGTCTCTTCTCTATAGCTCTTACCCACTGCAACCTTGCTAACAATGTCGGTTACAAGATGAAAGAGCCTCTCGTCTAGGTCAATGGTAGTATTCAAAGGCATTGATGAAAAAGAATCAAGCATGCCCTTGACCTCAGTGTCTACCACTTTTTTGAACAGTCTGCTCCTCTTAGAACCTAAGAACTCGGTTACCAAAACCTTTCGCATCTCCTTCCATTGATCAGCATGAGGGGAGAAAGCAACGTCCATGTAGTCGAAGGTTAGTCGTTTGAAACCCTTGGAACGTGGACGATTACAAAGTATCTGATCGTGGGTTTTTAAGGCCTGGTTTGCAAATTCACTGGAAGAGATGATGACGTATGGTGTGGCACCTAAATGGACAGTCATAATAGGGCCGTATTTTCGTGAGACTTTCCATAGGATTTGATGGAAGTTTTTACCTATCACTTGATGCAAGTTTCCTATTATTGGAAGCTTAGGAGGGCTAGGGGGAAGGTTAGGGGCAGCCTTGGATGTTTTCATCCATCGCAGGGCATATATGAAGATCGAAGAAAATAAGAGAATTGATACTGATGAATAAAGGGGTGAAGGGAAGAAAGCGAAAATATCCATGTCAATGGGTTGTTTTCTTTGTTGTGTTTGTTTGGAAGTTAATGGAATCCATGCACCTCCATTTATAATGGAGCCTAAGATGATAATACATCAACTCATTTTAAAATAAAAAAGGTTGATGTCGTGCCAGCCGCCATCTCCTTCCTGTACAATGTTGAATATGTGACTATATTGACTATGTATTTGTAAATTAATATTTATTCTATTGCTTCATACCACAAAGTTGATAATTTATTTAATTTTCCAATGGTTACAAATTCATAGCAATTGCTTGGCACCACCAAGTCGATTGTTTAATGGATAAATTATAGGTACCAATCTTGAAAATGGTGAAATTAAAATGCGTTAAGAAGTAGCACGAATAAAATTATATAGCTTAACGGTAGTAAAAGTTCAAATATGTTAGGAGGGTTTTTTTTTTTTTTTTTTTTTTCTATTGTAAACAATTCGTTATGCAATTATAGTGAAAAAATTTTGTGACCAGTGTTTTTTTTTTCATTTTTTGTGTGTGCATGTCTTTATCTATCATATATTTACACTACAAAAAATATAACCATCAGGGAGAAGTATACTATCTTTCATCTTTCACTTTTTGAATGTTATGTAAGTTTTTCTATGACTCCTATACTTTTGCTTACCAACGCTACTCCTTCGATATTTTGCAAAACTTCATTTTCCTTGTATCGGCATATTACTTTTCATTTGTCTTCAAGAATCATATTATGTAATATGTGATGGGTTTTGAGCAACACATACATTCTTATTTGTGCATGAAACCCTAAATTGATTGGATCTAAGTTTTCTCTATTGAACGTGCAAAAAATGAACACAAAGAAGAAACTCTAGGATCTATGTATTAAAATCAAAATTCACATCAAAGAGATCAAACATACCTTGATTGTTATATTGTAATAACAATCTAAAACCTTGCGGATCTTGAACTTTGAGAACTTAGTGTCACAAGCGTCATACCTATGATGACTCACAAACACACTTAGCAAGAGAATCATTATGAGAGGAGGAGAGAGGAGATAATTTTCAAATTTCTTCTCTAAGAATTCAGTGGCCGAAATATGCAGGTTGATACCCTTTAAATAGTTAGGTTGCTTAGCCCCAAAGCTAGGGTTTCTAGATGGAAACCCTAATTTCCAGCTTAGGCCCCAAGCAGCCCATGGATCCACCATCTTAAGGCCTTGGACGAAATCCTAAGGGCCTCCCCTAGAAATTCCATCCAACCCTACTTAGGGTGATCCAAGATCTCAAACCACAACTATAAATTAATTGCAAAACAGCCCCTGCAATTTTAATTAATTCCTTTAATACCAAAATTAATTCCAAATTAATTTTTGACTAAATATTAATTAATAATACGATTTATAACATATTAATAAATCATTTATATCAATTTATTTTTCCAAATAATAAATTCTTCCTCTTCGTAAATTAATCATCATGTAAAGTTGCTAGTGTGAAGGCAACCCAAAAAGACCATGTCATTACCAATTCAAGTACATACCAATTATAGTTATAGGCTTAGACACCTAATCCAACAAGCTCATGTTGGATTAGTGTCTAAGTCCATAACTATATTTGGTATGTACTTGACCCAATTATTGCATGGTCCTTTTGGGTTGCTTCATCAAAGCAACTTGACTGGATGAATAATAGAGAAAGAGAATATTATGGTTTATTAATATATTATAAGAATAATATATTAAAAGAATATTCATATTTGTTTAATTAATATCGGTCAAGATTTAATTAAGAATTAGTTTTGTTGTCAAAAGAGGTTAATTGAATTAATGGAACTGAACTTGTAATTATATGATAGTTGCAAAGTTGGGTAAGGAAACCCTAGAGTATAGGGTGGACAAATACTAAGGATAAGGCCTTAGGTACTCGTCCAAGGGGATTCTAGAATGATCATTAGGCTGCTTGGTGGCTAAGTAAATAGATAAGGATAATCAGTGAAACGCTAATTTCTACACTTGTATAAAGACCCCTAGGGCATGGGATTTTCGGCTACACTTGAACCCTAGGAGTCTTGGAGCCGATTTTTCCCTCTTCCCTCTCTTTCTTGCTTCATCCATTTGCTTTGATGTTTGTAATCCATTAGAGGCACAACATTTGGGGTGCTAATGTTCTCAAAGCTTCAACATCTACAATCAACAATCAAGGTATTCATCTAACTTATTTATTTGATATTCAATTAGTTTTCTTGTATGCTAGATTAGGGTTTGTAAGCTTTGGATAAATTTGCATGTACAATAGAGAAACCTAGATCCAAAGCTTTAGGGTTTTACATGTGCACAGAGGATGTTCTTTTGCTCAAAAGCCATAAGTAGTATTAGAGCCTTGCTTGGTTTCTATTGTATTTAATGCATGATGTGTCTATTCATTGCTTAAAATCGATTTTTATGACATCAGCTTGACAGACTCATCGAGTCCTATGAGGTACTCGACGAGTCAGGCTGTCAGACAGATGGATTTTTGGGATTTTGGCTAATTTTGATTAATAAAATCCGAATTTTATTGATTCTATGTGATTATCTTAGTCAAAATAAAAAGAGATTTATCATTTAATTAGATAAGTATTGCCTTATATGATAAATCTTAATTATTTGAATTATTTGATCAATTATCTTGCATGAAACTGGATTAGGTCAAAATTAGATAACCACCAATTAATTTTTTAATTGATTTATTTGAATTTTAATGTAGATAGTTTTGAATTGTTTTAAAACTTTTCCTCAAGTTTTGGAATTTAAATTTTGATTAAAACTTTAATTTTTGTTATAATTAAACTCCAAACCCTAAAATTTTACAAGTTTAAAATTCAATCCTATACTATTTTAATATTATAAGAATAATTATTATATATGTATAAGATAAATGCTAATCTTACCATTAGTAGGCCTCATTCACGAAGCTCGTCTATAAGGGGGTATAAGGTTGCTGCCTATAAAATGGTAGTTTAATGGGTGTCCACTCTCACCCACCGTTTCCTTGATTGGTGGAGGATCGTTAGCCGAACAGGTAGGTAAGGGCAACCAATTCCTCATTAAAAGTATAATGATTAAATAAAGTAACTAAATGCTTTTATAAAATTCTCAATCTTAGTTACTTTAGGAAAAATGTGAATTTGATGTTATTCCATGAAATTACACTTTGTACCCATGCTAAGACGTTAGTGGAGCATGTGTGGTTAACCGACACATTAACTTAGTTTTAAGCAAAGGTAGCAAAGGGTGACTCAATGTTTGTCATAGATCGAAGGAGCGCATGTGGCTAACCGACACATTGATTAGGTGACTATAATATTGAGGGCAACATATACATTTGCATGGTTATTCACACCTTGTTTGTGATCCTCGGTATCCCAGTCACAAACTTGAAGGGCATATCGATATTTAAACATTGAAAAGTTTAATGAATCTCAAAGGATCTAGGATTTTCAAAACATTTAAAAATTAATTGTTTTGTTTTTCATGGTGGAAATTAGTGAATCGTCATTCACTTACCTTCAAATTATTTTGTTGTTTAGATTACGACATCCCTCTTCTAAATTGAAAATAATGTTGTTGGGTCCTAGCCCTAATTTCTCATTTTGGTGTTTAATTGGGGATTCTTATCTAATCAAACATTATCTCTTTTCTTTTTCAGATGTCTACCCTGAACAACAATGCTTTCGACTCAAACTCTTCTGGCTCATTCTTACTCATGAATTTATGTGGGAGGGTGATCTTCGATCGAAACAATTTCAATGATTGGATCTGTAACATAAGGATGGTCACCCGCTACGAGGAAAAAGAGTTTGTCCTCAACAAGGAGCTGAAGGAGGTAGATGTCAACACTGCTACTCCCGGGGAGATCGTTTCCTTTGAGGCCTATGAGCGTGATGCCACGAAAGTACATTGCATCATGCTAGTGACCATGACTGCTAAACTCCAAAAGTCCTACAAGGACTTCTATCCCTATGAAATGCATCAGGATCTACTAGATAAGTACCACCAGAGTGCCAAGCAGGAGAGGTACGAGATCATCACTTCGATGATCAGGACCAAGATGAGGGACGAAGAGTCTGTCACTGCTTATCCGCAGAAGATGTAAAGGTATGTCGACCTCCTGCAGAAGTTAAATGTTAACTTCGATGAAGGAACGACAATTGATATCATTCTTCACCCCTTTCCTCCTTGCTACAACCAGTTCTGCATGACCTACTGCATGAACAAAGAGGAGGTCATGTTGAGCAAGCTTCAAGGTCTGTTGAGGACTGCTGAGAGTAACCTCAAGGATAAATCCATTACACAAACTCCTACCTGTACAACTACCCATGTCTTGGCTATTGGACAGGGAAGGATAAGAAGAGGAAGGCTCCTTCAAAGAGCTACCATAAGGGAAAGTCCCATGATGGCACCTTTTCTAGTGGAACCAAGGCTGGTCCTGTTGGACCTACCTCCAATCCAAAGGATGCAGAGTGCTTCTACTGCCATGAGAAGGTGCATTGGAAATGAAGCTACCCGAAATATCTACAAGATATCAAGGATGGAAAGATCAAGCCATCCTACGCATGTATTTATAGTATTCAATCTAATGATTCATCACATGCTATTTCTTGAGTTATCGACACAGGGTGTGGTTTTCACATTTTTTCTGATTTGCAGGGCCTAAGAAGAAATAGGGATGTAGAGCAGGGGAAGATAAACTTGATCATGGGGAACAGAAAAGCATCGCCTATCACCAAGATTGGATTTTACTCTTTAATGCTTTGTAATGGATTATGACTAGATTTGAATAATTGTTGCTATTCGCCTAAAATGTCAAGAAACATCATTTCTTGTCATGGTTTTTATAGACAAGGATTTAGATATTCATTTGATAATGAAAAGGGTTCTATTAATGCTTATCTTAATGATGTTTTCTATTTTGAAGCATTGCCTTGTAATGGAATATATGAAACTGTGATGCTTGTAGACAATTTAGGAAATGATGTGTTGTGTATTGATTCTTCCAATAGTTTGGATAAAGCATGCTTGTGGCATTGTTGTCATGGACATGTCAACAAGAAACGCATAGCCCATGCCCAAAAGGATGGAGTGTTGGAGTCATTCAACATTAAGG